CATGATTCATTCACTCATGCCACCCCAAATCTTTCCTTCTCTGCTGTATTTCCTATTTTCCTAAATGTCATCTTCACCATCCTATCTTCAAAGTATGTATCTGGATAATATTTTTATATTCCCATCTACCCAATTATACATTTTGCTCTGTCTTACAAATCCATGTTTTCTTCAGTAGTCTTGCCCCTTTTCACTGTACCATCAGGGACAGTCTGTTCTTACTATGTACTTATATATTATTAATTAACAACACACAGATAGTCAAATTAAAATAAGCAATAGTGTATCAGAAACAAAGTGACATAGCAGTTTCCTGGTAGAAGTTTCTTATTTATTTGAAAGGATGCATACAGAGCTACATCACAGTGTGTACACACAGATCCAGAAATGTTTTGTTTTGCAGTTCTAATTAATGAAAGTAACTGAAGCAGTTAAAAAATAACTGAGAGATCATTTCCTATCAGCACATACAGAGCTACCTTCTTACTTATAAGTACATGGTGCTTTGCCAAATAAATATACCATAATTATTTTAATGGTACTCAACGAATGAACATTTAATAATGTCTAACTTCATTATGTGCAATGCCATAATGGCATCCTCTTTTACACATTACGGAACATTTATATATACATTAGTATGGAAAAATTGTAGAAGTGAAATTAGCAAGTACATTAAAGAATGTGCACATTTTAAGTTTTGATGGATATTGCCAAACAATCCATTTGTTTGAAATACTTTTCTCATTTCTAAAATACCTCAATGATACTCCTTTAGCAGTTAAGATTACATATGCAGTTCTTAGAAAGTTATTATCTGTACCCCGCATACTTCTCTAGTTATTTTTCCATCCTTAACCTTTGCTCTGAGCTCCCATTATACCACATTAAATCCACCATCAGACATTATAACTTCTCTTCTTCCTTTGCACATCTACTTATAAAACCTTTTCTCCATCCTCAGCTTTATGTAAACTTAACAATAAAGATACAACTCAATGAACCTTTTTCCCAGTTTTCCCCAGACACATCTTGTGCCCCACCCCAATTCTGATAAGATATAAATCTCTTCTACATTCTTACAGCATCTTATTTCTACTATTGCATCTTCCTGAACCACAATCTTCTGTTTCAGTTTTATCTCCATGACTAAATTATGAGTCTCTTAATGAAAGAGACATTATTGTACCTGCTGCTAAGTTCTTGGACCTTTGCATAGCTCTTCATATTTCTGTTGAGTTAATTAAGTGACAATTTTGAAAAACTCTAAAAGGTATTATTACTATGAGACAGTAAGTTTACTGTAAGAGTTAAGATTGTATTAACCAAATTAAATGAATTATTTCAACGATTACCAAGCCCAAATGACAATTATATATAGCTTTAACAGACTCATAGACTAATTCTTACCTGAGTTTTGTTGAAACTGTACATAATATTGATGACTGTAAATGGAGTGAGATGATAATTCCGAGCATGGTAATTAACCTACAAAAAAGACACCATGTCTTTTTTTTCTTTTCTTTTTTTGGTCAAGAAATAATAAAGCCATGACAAATATTGCAGCATAAAACAGTTAAATTTCAAGGTCACTGTAAGTTATATATAAGCAAAATTACTCTTGAGAGTACTTTATGTTTATCAAGATATAATATACATTAATATATAAATGCAATATAAAGACTAATGCATAATATACATAGTAATGAAGATAATACAATACAAAAGATCTTGCTGTTTGATGTTTCCTAAAACACTACCATTATGTCTCCCTACTCATGCTGCCTTTATGCAACCATTCTTCAAAGTACTGCAGATGTTGCAATCAATGAGTAAATTATGAAATCAATTAAAAGGGTCAAAACAATATACACTGATCATAATGGAATGTCATAAGCATGTAAAATGTGTATGCATGAAATATACTGCTCTGGATATATATATATATATATATGTATTCACATGTTATATAAGTCATCATTTTTCTTTATATACTTTTCATGCTATGCATAAAACTTTGTAAAGATTTATACTGTTCTGAACTCTAAGAGCAAACACATATGGGACAAATTATTTGTAAAAGAGTAAAGTACATGATAGTAGTATTTGCCACATTGTGGGTCACTAATTCTCTAGCACCATTACTCTATCGTAGGATTAACAAGTTCAAAATTATGTTTATTCTAAGGATGCCCAGGTATCTCCCTGTGTTGATATTCTGACTAATGGTGCAAAAGCAATGGTGAGTAGAGTGATCAGCTCACAAGTCAGAGCAGTCGCATCAAATTGTATATAGTTTGTATTTATTGTGTCCTTCACCCACCTATGCACAGGAGGGAAAAGTAATCAATATCCTTGAGAAAGCATAAAAAATGTGAATTTTGTGAAACCTTGATCCTGAATACACAACCTCTTTCTAATATCCTGTGTACTTCACTAGGAACTAAGATGCTGTCCTGAGGGAAAGCTCTTCTAGGATGGAACTGCAAGGTGACATAGCTACTGTTTGGTGGCCACATACTTGCTTTAAAAGCTCCCTGATGGACTAGTTACTCATGTTGCAGACAGACATGTTCTGGTAAATGAACAAAGTTACTGGTTGATTTAAAACATGTAAACTTCTATATATTCTGTCAATAAACTTGGATTTTCAAATAATGGACATAATTTTGTGAAATCTGTTTCTACCATCAAAAACATAAAATAACTGAAGACTTTTCTGGTTAGAACAGATGTACTTTCAATGAAAATAACTTTTTTGATATTGCATAAATCAAACCCTTTAACATCTGGAAGATTTATATTGAATCAATACTCTTAACCAATTCATGGGTAAAAATAACCATTGAAAACATTTAAATCAATGGCCTTTTAAAGGTAAGAAAGTATAAAAAATTCATGTGGCTTCAGGTTTCACATTTCAAATAACCTTCTATGAGTTTTGGTATAATTTCAAAAAGTACTAGCAGTTATCTGAAAAGGATATATACTCTTGATCTCAATTACATTATATAAACAGCACGGGACTTTTTTATTTTAAACACAACATCTTGGAATAGATTGAATGTAGAAGCAGAGATGCTGGCTACCTTCTATTCTCCCACATATTAAGACATTTGCCAACCATAAATATTATTTCACAAACAGGTCATTGTTAGCATCCAAAGTGCTTATTTTAATGAATTAAATTAATGCACTTATATTTTCCCACTTTCAAGCTGAAGTGGGACATATCAACAAATATAAACCATTGTTATGTTTGTGTCTAAATGTCCCCACAAAGCCTCATGCAATCAGCTTTTTTCCAGAGGTGGGTGAATCTAGAGTATGTGATTGATTCTGATTCATAGTGCAACACTGGGATTTAGGGTGCTGGGATTAAGGGTGGGTGATTGCTGGATCAGTCCATGGACTAGATTAGCACTGTCCTAATCCCAGCAGACTGGACCCAACAGAAGAGACAGAAAGGGGGTTGTCTTACTGTTTTGTGCTTTTGCTATCCTTGTCTCCATGAACTATTGCCCCGTACCATGTGCTACACTGACTTAGAGCCAGTGTGTGGCTGAAACTTCCACACACTGTGAGCTAAATAATTTTCCCCCTTTAGCTTTGGGTATCAGGTACTTTTGTCTCAGCAGTGAGAAAGACACCCACATAAACCAAAGGTCATTGGGATTGTCAATAATCTCTAAGACAAGGTGGGATCTTCACATCAAAAAGTTTGAGAATGACATATTAGAAATAATAGAACAGGGCTGGAGAGATGGCTCAGTGGTCTAAAGCACCTACTTAGAACAAGCTCAGCAAAGCATCAGGGACCGCAGTTCAATCCCCCAGCACCACATGCCAGCCGGCCCCGCCCCCTGGTGGGCTGAGCTGGCCACACACACACACCACACACTCTCTCTCTCTCTCTCTCTCTCTCTCTCTCTCTCAAATAAATAAAAAAAAAAAAAAATTAAAAAAAAAGAAATAATAGAACATTTCACATGGACTAATGATTACATGTTTTCATATTATTTATCTGAATTCTGCACTTGAAATCAGGAGTATGATCAGAGAAATTTTATTTACCTGACATTGGCGGCGTAAAACAATGCAAGGATGGGCCAGTACATTTTCTGTAAAGAGACTACATAAAATAATTTATGTATATATGTGTCTATACACAAATTTTATTTACATATATTTCCATATTAGTCCTTAATTCTGATATCATCCTTGCCTGAAGAATCATGTATTATTTCATGCTTTCAATTCTTAAAAGGATTTTAAAAATATTTAGACATTTTTCTAATCGTCGTACCAGTAACCAATATTCAATATAAAAGAATAAAAACCAGATTGATAAACTGGTAAATAAGAGAAATAATATGTAATATTAATAACTGGAGTACAAAGATGAGAAAAGATCTCTGAATGTTAGACATGGGAATGCTACATCATTTAATTTCCATTTCTTTCCAAAAACAGAACAAAGTTCCTATTAACAAAGTTTCTTTGTCCCTCTGAACAATGATCCTATTAGCAAAGCTATCTGCTTTTTATAAACCTCATTGTAAAAAATTTGATTTTGATATGCTTACCATTTAAAATTCAGGATTTTTAATGGCCATGTTAATTAAATTGTTTATATATCAAATACTGCTTTTAAAAATATTACCTACAAAGTAATTATAGCTGTGTGCTTAAGCTCTAACAGTGAGGTACATATCTATGCATATAAAGATAACTATCATTTGAAATTACAGCATTAAGTATAAAAGGTAAAGCTAAAAAGATTAACTTCCAAAATGAAAAGCTCAGATTTTATTTATATTAACATTATGATCCTCAGGTTTGGGTCAGCCAGAGAGCTCAGTGGATTAAAGCTCCTGCTTAGGCAGATGCAGGGGCCAGGGATTTGATCCCTGGTCTACCTTGCAAGCCCTGCCCCCAGGGCCTGCTAAAATGGCAATTGAGACTGGGCGTGGTGGTGCACCTGTAATCCCAGCGCTTGGGAGGCTGAAAACAGGAGAATCACTGAGTCTGATCTGTGTAGTGAGACCCTGCAGACCCAGTACTGAATATATTAAAAAACAAAAACGAAAACAAAACAAAACAAAAAACAAAGGCCACTCCAAAAATGTAAACATTTTCCTTATGGTAATCAGTAATAAAAAAAAAAAAAGACAAAATTTAAGGCTGACTTTTCTTAAAGAAAATAATCATGAGGGATAAAAAGACATAATGCTAGACACCAAATGCTGATTATAGACAAAATCTACATGCCATGCTGCTAAATATTTTGGCAGCATTCCTATGTTTAGAGAAGGCTCAAGGCACAATTTCTCTTTTTTGGTAGACAGGGAGATATGATTACATTCTTTATACAATGATGTTTACGATTCGATTCCCCCACCACCACTACAGGCCACCGTGCCAGCCTGGTCTGGGCCCCCCTGCACCCCCCAGGTGCACTGAGGCCACTGAGTCTGGGTGTGGTGGCCAGGTGTGGTGGCACAGGCAGTGCAGAGGAGGCTAAAAACAGGAAGATCACTGGGAGTCTGGGCTCCGCAGAGAGATCTTGTACCAAATACATACAATTACATTTATGAAACTGAATTAACAGTTTCTACCATTACTGGTAGAAAAATCAAGTTATAGATTTTAAATTTTGGTAATTTTCTCTAAAATATTATTGAATATTTAAGCTGCTGCTCCAGGAAAAGCTTTAGATACTGATCATTATATAAAACAAAAATTCTGAATAAAAATTTAAACATTACCTTGCAAGTCCAATACCAAATCCAGCAAATCTATTCAACTGTTCTAAAATAAAAAGAATAAGATTATTTATAACCATTATTTAGATTTCATATAAAAACAAAAAAGATTCTTTTTATATTACTATGCTGTTCATTTAACCCCCAAAGTCAAATTCTGATAGGTGCCAGGGCATTAATTTGAATTAGTGAAATATTTGGGATGGATGGGGCGGGGAGACCCTTGTGCCCAGTCTCTTATAGGTACAACTGCTCTTTAACTCCAGTTGATTGTCACCATACAGGGCTAGGGGTCCAGAGTTTACAACTGCAATTTTTTTTTTTCAAAAATGATACTCTTATATTTATTTTAAAAAATCCCCTCAATTTTTAAAATATTGGCAATGGTAATTATTTGAAAATGTTTTTTAAGTCCTGTGCAGGCTAACTGAAACAAGTATACAGAAAGAATGCAGAGACTACTAGCACTAGGGACTGAACCCAGACTCTTTCAAAAGCTACAACCCAAGTCCCTTTCAATTTTTTTTATTTTGAAATAAGGTATTCCTAGGTTGCTAAGATGTCCAAATGGGCTCAAGCTTGCTTGAACCTGGAAGCTTGCTTCAGCCTCCAAAAGCACTGGGATTACAAGGAAATTACCAGTTTTCAAACCTGACTATAATCAAAATTTTTTTCTATGACTACCCATGACTGATGTTTACACCAAAATCTTGACTTCTCATGCTGTAAAACTAGGTATTCTCTGTTACTAATGATAGAATACCTTGTAGCTACTAATAGCTACAAGTAAAACATCTCAAAATTATGAATTTGAAAAAGTATTTACCATTGTCTAAGTGGGCCGAAGAACTCCCTTCTTCCCATGACCACGTATTTAAATAGCTCAGAATTGCTGTTTAGTTCAGTCTCTGTGACAGATGACTAGACACACATGTGCTATTACTAATGGCATTGCAGTAGTGCTCCCGAAAAAGTTCAGCTTAAAAGTTCACTTGTAAAAACCGTCCCACATTCAGCTGGTCATGTTATTATACATATGTGAAGATAAACTCCCTTCCCCTTAACTAAAGAACTCAAATATCATAATGGGGAACTAACAACCGGTAGAGGATTACACATTTTATATCACCTGTAACACAATTTTCACGAGATTCCCTCTTTCTCAATGGAAGCAAGGCCTTAACTATTCCCTTACAGTAAGAAGGCGGCCCTGTGAGCATATTCCTTGGGGAAATTACACGCTTCACCTTGACTGAAGTAGTACTCAAGCCTTCGCAAAAGCTTCACTGCCCGCCTTGGGAGATGTACAAGTTGGAGAGATAGCAAGCGACTTTTGCGAAAACACACCGTCAAAGTGAACTGGACGGCAGTAAAAAAAAAAACCAATTTCCTCCTTTCTTGACACAGACCACAGGCCCTAACACTCTACGGCCACTAAAAATTCCTACTATGCACCCCCCCACCCCCCCACTAATGCAGATATCTTTTCTGGAAGTGATCCAGGATTAATAAAATATTTTTATTGTGTGTTGAGCTCATCCCCACATATTAAGAGAAAATTCTACTGGGGGTATTAAGGAGGTTGACTATTGTGGACTGTGTAAGTTTTAGTAAAGTCGCACCCACCCACCTGTCAACAGCGGCAAAATAAACTCCTGGTTTTATTAAAAAGCTTGTTTTTAACCATCAGAGCATAACTTAGGAAAGATAAAAACGCAATAAGGTAAATATGCAACAATTCTATACTCATTTTGAGTTACTTAATGTGACTAATAAAAGCTTTCCAGTATTCTGAGATCAGTGTGACAACAGTAAGAAAACTAGGTAAGAGTCAAGCGGCTAATAGCACTTAAGCAAAGAGCTGACAGTATGACTGGATGAATCAATGGTCTTCCTTCACATCCTCGTTTGCTTATAAAATGTGTAAGTTTTTCTACTTACACAAATCAAATATTACACTCCTTCCAAGTCAAAAATCGAGAAAATGAAGGTAAAGCTGGTATCTAGGAAGTGTGTGGGTATGATTCTAAAATATAAATATGTTTTGACACTGTATGAGTATTCGTAACTTCTAATTGGAGTTTTTGCCTAAGAATAATGGGAAAGGGCCGCCAGACAGCTCAGAGGACTAAAGCGCCTGCTTAGGCACAGGGCAGCGCCCTGGGTTCCATCCCTGGCATGTCTCGCTGCCCCCCACCCCTCCCCAGGGCGCCCTGAGACGCCAACTGAGCCTGGGCAAGGTGGCGCGTGTCTGTAATCCCACCGCTTGGGAGGCTGAAAACAGGAGGATCACTACGCGTCTTATCTGTGCAGTGAGACCCTGTACTAAATACATTAAAAAAAATAATAATAATGGGAGAAGGGAAAATTACAGAGGAAAACTTCTAGACTGGGGATCAGATAAAGCATATAACTCCCAGGATTAAAAGGTTAAAGTAAGGATCTGAATATTTACCAGTGCACTATGCAGCCCATAGTGTTACCCAGTTCACTTAACACTTGAAAAAATGCTAACCGTTCTTGTACAGGTCTTAAAGAAGAGAAAATCAAAGGCTCAGAGGTTTGGAAGTCATTCAGTAAGATTCCAAATAATCTAGTGCTGAACAGCTTCTCTTTCAGAACACAAAGCTACAATGAAAAATCATAAAGTCGAGAAAATACAGCCGTCAAAGTGAACTGGATGGCAGTAAATAAACCAATTTCCTCCTTTCTCGACGCAGACCACAGGCTGCAACACTCTACCGCCGCTAAAATTTTCTACTATGCACCCCCCGGCTAAAGCAGATGTCTGTTTTGGAGGGGATCCCAGGCAACAACCTGGTGAAGCGGGAGGAGGCCCGCTTCGGGCACAGAGGACGAAAGGACGGCGGGGCGCGGGGCGCGCCGAGGCCGGGAGGAGCCGCCCGCCACCGCGCGTCCGGGCCGCA